TTCCCCACTAATGATTAATTAATTAATTAAAATTTTTATAAGACAAATGACCCAATAGGAAAATGCGCATTCTGTACTAATAAGACTTTTAAAAACAAATACAAAGAAAATCCAAACCCAACAAATCTGTGGAAGGATATTCGTTCTTTCTTGGGTGCCCAGACCTGTCCAAAACAAGGCACGTCCATCTTTGTCAGTGGTGACCACCAGGGGACAGGAGAGCGCCAGACCCGCCAAGCTGGAGCAGGCACCTATCCAGCGAGAGGAGAGCGTGGCTGCCTCTCGGCCGGCCAGCGCTGCAGTGCACAGCGGAGGTTTCAGTCCCAGGCCTCAGGCCAGGTGCGGGGTCTCCTTCACAGGCTGCACAGCTTAGACAATTTCTGTGCACCTGCAGGACGGAGTTAAAGCATTCCAAAGCAGGGAAATCATTCTACAGTAGATGTGGAAAGATTTATGAGCCATGGTAAGGTTGTTTTTGGTTTTGTTTTTTTAAACATAATAAAATAGACCAATGATAGGGTAGATTAGGCTAGAGGGAGGATAGGTGGATGGATGGATAGAAGACAGACAGATGCATATGGATAGAGATGTCTAGATAGATAGAGATGGATGGGTTTTTAGATAGAGATGGATGGATCCATGTTAAATAGAGACACAGATGATAGATAGATGATAGATGATTGATAGATAGATAGATAGATAGATGATAGATAGATTGAGAGACACATGTAAACCTTTTTAATGCAAAGGTACACCAGGAACTGCTAACAGTATTTTAATTTGAGCAAAGAGCCAAGAGAAGAAACGGGGGGAAGAGCTTTCCTTTCCACCCTATGTATCTTTGCCCTTTAAAAAAAAATTTTTAGGGCCGGGGATTTAGCTCAGTGGTTCTGTCGCTCCCCTCACAAGTGCAAGGACCTGAGTTCGATCCCTGGTACCAAAAAAGAAAAAAAGAAAAAGAAATTTTTTTGGCATTCTAAGTGGTAATCTATTTAAGAGAGAGTTTGTTGGAACAAAACATCTAATAATCCTCAAGATCAGACCTTGGCTTTACAGGAAAAGAATGAGAGAATAAAATTTTCCAGGGATGTCAACATATATCCAAAACACAGTATGCAACAGATAGCCTAATATTTAATTTTCAATTAATGCTAACATTTATTAGACCACAGAAACATGTACGTTTTGGTTTTCTTTCTACATTCTGGGGATTTAAAAGGCAGGACACATTTTGGTGTCCTCAGACTCCCAGGCCCTTGAGTTGCCCTGTGCCTGGGCTGCACACTCCACAGACCTTAGGGTCCCGATGTCCCATCCCACACCACAGGGACAGGAAGATGAGGCCACAGTGCATCAGGATCCTGGCAAGTATGAAGCCTTGCTGGTGAGGAAGAGATGCCCCTGAGGAGAGCCCCTGATTGCACACATTGGCTCAGGATGTCATCACATGCAGGAGAGACAGGATGACCTGTCCCAGGTCACCAGGGGAACAGCAGGTGCCAACACTCTCCTGATAGCCCCTGAAGTGGTCCCTTTCACTCCACCATCTCACACTCTGCACAGTCCCCCAGACAGGAGCAACAAGTGCCTAGGTCAGGGACATAGAGAAAGATGGCACCATGGAAGAGGAAGCAAGGGCGAGGTCCTGAAGGGGGCCTCGGCTCAGGCCTGCTCTGCATGGGCTCCCATCAAAGAGTCTCACAGACAAGGGCTTGGCTCACACAACAGAAATCTTCATCTCACAGTTCTGGTGTCAGAATCCAAGGTTGGGGTGTTTCAGAGCTGGTCCCCCTGAGGTGTCCCTGAGCTGCTGGGTGCAATCTTCTCTCTGTGCCCATCAGTGTCCCCATCTCTTCTTAAGGAGTCCAGTCCTGGAAGACCAGGATTCGCTCTAAAGGCCTCTTTTTAACATAATTATCTCTAAAGACCTCATCTCTAAGTGAAGCCACACTCTGAGGTATGGAGGGTTAGGACTTGTTGAAGGTGGCCCTGGTCAGGGACAGTGCCACTGTCTCCTGGCCTTTGACAGCTGTGCGTGAGTTTGCATTGTTGACTCTGCCTGGGCTGTCCAGTTTCCTTCCAGTATGCAGGAGCGGCTCAGAGGTGAAGGGACCCTGTACCCTCCATGGAGAGTCACTGTGCTCATTTTCCTGCCTGACCAGCAAGGCATGTCTGGGAGCCCTGACTGAAGAATTCAGGGAAGAGTTCCAGGTCACCATGAGTCCCTTACCAAGGCCAAGACAAGTCCAGGTCATCTCTGGAGTTCTGGGCCACCTACATTTAAACCACCCACAACCTGGCTTGGGCCACAGGAGCCCGAGCTCCCTTTCCAACTGCCTGCAACGGCCCACTCCGTGCCATGCCAGAAGCAGGCCCTGGAGATGCACAGCAGTCTTCTCAGGACAGGGCATTTCCTGAGGGCAGGTAAGACGCCATCTCCCAGAAAGGTCACTTTTCCCCCCAAGTAGCTTTTCACAATTGTTTTTTACTGTTTGTTTCCCAGTACAGACTTACTTAAAATTATAGTCCTGGGCCTTTCTGAAAGGTGTCTTTCATTTCCCTTCCACTCTGTAAGGAAAGAGGAAGTCCATGGGTGGCCAGCCCAGCTGCTCCTGCTGCCCAACATCACCTTGCAGGCTAGGAATGTGCGGTCCTCCTCCCAAGCAGGTAAGTGATCCCTTCACCCTTTGTGATCACACGGGATTGAGTTTACCTCCCGTGTTGAAACCTGGTAAGCCCTGCATGTAAGCCAGCCGTGAGACCAGCTTCCCTGAAACCACTTCCATTGTGCAGAGAAAGCACAATCCCACAGCTGTCCCCTGGGGAAGTCGATATACCTGACAGGTGCTTGCCCTGGGAAAGGGTCCAAAGAAAGGTGGCTGAGATCTGTGAGCTGCCCTTTCCTTAAGGAGAACATGGGTCAGTGATGCTATTCCACAACACCCACCAGAGCACCTGTTCCCACAGCCACTGCCAAAACTTCAAACATGGAGCAAGTCTATAAAGCAAGTGCCTTGTAGCATTACTCCAAGGCTGAGTGGATTCCAGTGAGCAATTATTTGACTAAAGAGTTTCTGAGCTGGATTCACCATTGGCAAACCAGCACCTTACAAAGTGTCCTCCAACAACAGCCAGTACAGGCTCCAGACATGGAAATCAACCTTGATTTTAAGTAAGGGATCTAAACCAGCCAAGGGGCCCCTCTTGATTTGGGATGAAACCCAAATGTCCTCCTTGTCCCAAAGCCTGCTTGGCCTGATGCTTGCCTGACTTCCTGATCTCACTCTGCCACCAGTCCCTCATGAACACACAGGCTTGAGCCCAGCTGTGCTCCAGGAGCAGGAAAAGCCCCAGGTCTCAGAATCTGTGCTCTTTCCGCCTGGCATGCCCTTGCCAAAGCCTTTGCCAGCCTGGCTCCTGCAGGTCTGAATTCCACCTGCCTCACAAAGAATTTCCATGACTTCCTGACCATCAGCCATTGATCCCCACCACTAACTCTCCTAGTTTTCTTCTCAGCATAACACCTACTGAAACCTTATGCATTGTTACCTGTCTCCTTGCACCCGATTGGAAACTTCTCTCCACAGCATCAATTAAACTGTGCCTACCACATAGAAGGCAGTCACTGTTGGATGGATGGACAGAAAGATGGATCGATGGATGGATGGATGGATGGAATGAATGATGAGTGGATGGATGTGTGAACAAATGAAGACCACCTGCCTAACATGATATTCAAACAAAAATAAAACCCTCAATGATCACCTAGTTCTGAATTATTTAATAAGTGCCTTTGCTCTTTCACTCCACACTGCCCACAAACACACTTACTAGAGTGGCACTCTGGCCTCTTTTGGTCATCTCCCCTCAGAGTGCACTGTCCCTTCCATTGGCTGGTCCAGTTGGAAGTCCTAAACATCTGTACATGGGGATCAGAACCAATTCAATTGCTTCACAACTGGACACACCCCTTTCAGAGATCAAACACACTGTTGAATTGTTTAGAGCAAGTACCTTAGCTTTAAATGTTTTAATATACACATTTAATGTAATTGACTTCAGAGATTATTATTTAACATATACAAATTTGAAGTATAGTTTATGTATTTAGACAATTACGTGTTTGCTAATTTCCTTTAAAAATCATTGCTTCAAAATCTGGTGAACCCAGTAGGCCAACAGATCAGGTTTTGCACATTCAGAGTGGTGTTGAGCCACACTAGTCCTATGCAAGTGAGAGCTCCCTTCCCCCTGTAGAGAAGCAGGTGGTGGTGAAGAGGCTCTGGACCCCAGCTGTGGAGCTCAAATTGGAGTCAGCTGTCTGAGTCCAGGTGTGTTCTGGACACTCTCTGGGCCTTAGATTTCTCACCTGAAAACCGGGGAAAGGATACTGACTATCTGGCAGAACAGTGATGCAGGTTCAAGTTATAGAATGACAATAATAATAATACACTCCAGAATGGGACTCATATGTATCAGCCTTTAATGAACATTATGGGTTTGTTGCTTGGCTTATGTCCTTTGGAGAGCCACAAATGCCACAAATAAAACCTACATGTGAAGCCACACAAGTATAATTTTAAAATTTTTAGTGCAATTTAAACTGCAAGTAGAATAAAATCACACACAAAATAACATTAGGGTGAAGGTAGCTTTAGCTTTATCAAATGAAAGCCTTAGATTTTAACAAATTGCAAGAGAACCATGCAGTGTGTCCACAAGGACATGTTATGACAGGAGAATTATGTGAGGTACTCAGAGAATTAAATCAAGCAAAACCAAATAAAATGCTCAGCTTGCAATATCAGTAAGTGGAAAATGGAACCTTAAACAAGAAAGTGCTCCAAAGCATTTTTAACCTTTGGCTTTTGTTCTTCCAGAATGTGACGTATAGCATAAACCAAGAACAGCAAATGAGTTTATCTTTTACCCAACTCGTATTGGTTGGAGGCATAGGGGTGGATTTTGTGTACTCTCCATCCCTAATCTTTAATTGACCTACACTGCAGGCATGGGGTGTACAGGGATGCGGCTGGTGCCAGGGTCACACTACTCCTTGTCATTTCCCACTCCGAGTCTTTGGGCAGCCACAGGACAGAGGGTTTGGAACCAGGGTCCGCTGTGCCCACAAGGTCACTGGTGTTCAGGACCAGGGCCTTTGCCACTCCTCCTTCCTCGACCTTGAGTGACCTGCAGGGTGGTTTGCAGCCTGATCCGTGTGCCTTCCTCGCCCTATATCTGGGGAGGGAGGGACAGGATTAACAGAGACCAGTCCAGCAGACCTCCTCCACAGTAGCACACAGAGAGCCCCGGAACAGCTACCATCCTGAGGAAGGGTCTACAGACAGCAAGTTCACCTCGGGCAGGAGCAGAAAGCAAAGGGAAGGCCCTGGACGCCCTGCCTGCAATCCAGTGAGTACTGGCCGAGGGATCTGTGCTGAGCTAGGAACAGAAGACCACAGGGTCTGCAAGCAGGGAAGGGGGGTGGCTATTTCTGACATGTTTTTCAAGGATATGAAAGGGAAAAACTGTTTCTCTGACTTTAGCCTTCAATTCTCCAAGGCTTCTGTGTGGTTGCCATGGTGGCCTCATTACATTCAGGGGTCTTTGCTTCAGGGTAAAATAAAATCCTCACCAACAGCTACTGCCGGCCACCTGCCCAGAATCATGTCTGCCCTGGGACAGGAAGCCCCTGCCAAGAGCCACCTGATCACAGGGTCACCTTGAGCTGCGTTCTGCTGCCAATCACAAAGCTAAGGTCTGAGAGGCAGTGCAGGCCTAGAGCAGGCACAGAGGGGGCTGGACCTGCAGGGGAGGATTGACCCCACCTGCCCATCCCTTTCTCTGGCCTTGTAGGCTTCCTCCTGGCTGCATCTCAGAAAGGCTTGGGCCAACCGCAGACCCAGTCTGACAGCCTGGATTTGCACAGGTCCAAAGCCCTTTCCCAGAGGGTGGGAGCACAATGGCGCAGGAGTCTCACACACAGGGACACCCTAGCCTTAGGTCAGGGTGATGGCAATGTGCCCAGGGGATCTGGGCACCCTGGTGAGCCCAGACCATTGTCATGATAGTCAGGGGTCATAGCAGAGGCAGAGGCTGCTCCTCTGAACTCCCTGGATCTCAGAGTGCCCCAGCCCCGTGGCAAGTCTGTGTGATCGGGACACAGAGACTCAGAGACAGTGCCCTGTGGCCTGGCAGAGCCAGGCCTAGGACTGAGGACTGTTCTGTGACCTCAGTGCTGGACTCCAGCAGGATCAGAACCTCGGAGCAGGGAGCACTGATGGTGAGGGAGAGGGATGGGGCCCAGGAAACCCACCACAGCCACCCATGGGGTCCTGCAGCTTCAAGTCCCCAACCAGCATTGAGGCCCAGTGGAAGTGCATGAGAACACAGTAAAGAGCTGAATTAGGAATCAAGACATGTCCCTGGCCTACTGGGCTTGTTGGAATCCCCTGTAAAGGTAGCCTGGACCTGGTATCTGCAGGGAGCATGTCATAAATTGTTCCCTGGCCAAGTCCTGTGCCACAGACCTGGCTGGCCCAGGGGCCTGGGGTCCCCAGGGATGCTGTGGGCTGACATCCTCTGCTAGCCAGGGCCAGAGTCTCCCCAGTCCAGATTCCATCTTCCCAGATTCTAGCCAGCTGAGTCTGCAGCAAGGTGGGCAGTCAGGGTGCACACTGCCCCTCTAGAAGAAAAGGCACCTCCCTCCCTTTCTCTAGAAGAAAAGGCACTGCAGGTTCAAAGCCACTCAGCCCTAACAGAAAGGTCGGCCACATGCTGTGCTGCCACCAGAGCAGCAGGGGTGGCCCTGGGGTCAGGGGCTGCAACCAGTTTGTATTCAGCTTCCTGGAAGTTTTCTCACTAACTGCTTTTCTCTTTGTCCCACTGAAGCTCTTCTCTCAACTTCGTGTGTTCAGATTCACTTCTAAAAAAGAATTTATTTTTAGTTAATGTTATTTTTTGACTCAGGGTAAGAACTTTGAAAAGCTTAAAACACATATCCAAGCAGGTCCTTTCTGCCAGTTCACAGAATAAAAGAGGATTTTTACCTAAGTCAAAAATAATGGATCAAGAAATTTCCAGTTCTGATCAAACTACTTAAACAACCAAGCAAAAAAAAACAAAAAAAAAAAAACCAAGCACCCCGAACACCAAAAACTTCCACATACACAATAAGCATTCTTATAAATGTGGAGCTGGGTGTGGACAAAGAAAAGGCCATTCTGAGGTTCCTGGAAAGAAGGGCAGCAGCCCTTGCACAGCATAGCTGAACCGCACGCCAACTGAGAGGTGGGGTGTCCACCTAGGTGCTGCAAGGTCTGTGTACTCACAGAGGGTTAGGGGTGCCTGGCTGGGTGTCCTAACATCTGTGCCCCTGGTATAGGACCATGGTGTTCTAACACCAGTGAGGGCAGTAGAAAGAACCTGGGCCCTCCAGGGAAGGGAGTTGGAAATGAGCACCTTACCATAAGTGCCTTCTTCCAAGGGCTCTGCAGAAATCTGACCTCTTATAGGGTACGATGAGTAAGCTCACTGTGTCCCCAGGCTGTGCATGAAAAAGAAATCTCTCCATGGTAGGATAATATGGTCTGTGCTGCAGATCTAATCACACAGCTCACTGGCCCAGCAACCCCTAAGACAAGAGGTAGATGAAAAGTCCCACATTGACAATGTCCCTAGGCCCCTGTGGGTATGTTGGAGCTGCCTGAAGAGAGCACCCTAGCCCAGAGTGCAGTGTGTGCTGCAGTTCATCCCCACAGGAAAAAAACCCACCACCCCAAGTCACAGCCTCTCTCAGGAACAACCGGCAGAAAGAACCAACCCCTAGAACTTCAGCCCTAGGGTAGAAAGATGCAGCCATCGGGGCCTTAGCACATAGATGAGACACATCAGAAAGAGAATCCAGTGCCTGGAAATGGCTATCCTCTCTTCTGATAGGGCCTGGCCTTGGGGAGGCACAGCTGGAGCTCTGGAGCCTCCCTTCAGCCCTGGGCTCCTGAGAATGGGAGGGAGCAGGAGGCCAAGCCAAGACCACACATCGCCAAGTCCAGGAGACTGAATCAAGGACACCCCCTGGACAGGGTGCAGCAGGACAGCCTGCCCTCGGCATGGGCATTGGAGGGAGGAAAGTTCTCCTGCACATCAGAAGTCAGAGGCCACCTGTCACATGCACAGGCAGCTCAGGTTCACCTTATGCAAACAGCCTGACCAACAAATGAGACTTGTTTTTCTCACATAGTTTTCTTTAGAAAAGGTTAAACCTTCAGAAGTATTGAAAAAACAGTTCAAAGAAGGCACACAAGCCCTGTCCTAGTGCACCCATATATGTGAGTGCACTGCGTACAATCTCATTCCCAGAGGCACACTGTGGCATCAACCATCCAAGGGGCATGGGAGCTGTGGCTACGGTGACCTCAGAACAGCACACTGTCCTCCAGGCCACGGCACTGCTGAACACATCAGTGACCACGGCTCTGTGGTGGCCTCTTTAATCTCTTCTAAGCTAGAAATGTCCGCTGAGCTCAAAGCACTCTGTTTCCTTTTGCTGTTAGTTGACACGTGGTATCGACTTGTGGAGGTGAGCCAGGCCTGTGGTCTCAGAAAATGCCCCATCCTCCAGATACACCTAGTTATGTCCTCCTGGTTCAGTTCAGGCTGAACATGGTCACTAAAATATTTCACAGATCACACTGGTGTGGAGCTGCATCACAGCAGCAAGACAGCCAGGCACCTGGGAACTAACTCAGAACCCAGGCCCAGGTGTTCTTGCCTCCATACCTCTTCACTGTGAAGCACTAACTTCCGCTTGGGATTGTGTCAGACACTTCATATGAATCTCTGTTGTCTTTCAACTGTTTTTAGTGTTTCTTCAAAATGTTTTACTTTGCTGGGGATTTAGCTCAGTGGTGCTGATGCCCGTCTTGCAAGCACAACTTCCTGAGTTCAATCCCCAGTACCAAAAAAAAAGAAAAAAGAAATGAATCTAAAATGTTTTATTTCTATTATCCCTTGAAATTTAAGAGAAAAAAGACAAAAACATTTTAAAAATTAGAAAGGAAAGAAATGTTAGTTATAAAAGACCTGTGTGAAAGACAATGGATTTCTTAGTCCCTGCCAGCCCTGTACACCCTCTCATGGGTCCCTGTTGGTGAACAGTGGGGATCCAGCTGCCACCCAGGAGAGGTCTGGCACAGACTGACAGGGCCATCCCACCAGGGACAGGTGCTCGGCAACTCTGTCCTTGTCAAGGCCAAGGAGGCATCAGAAAACATGAGTGTCCATGCCACCTGGAGAAGGTGTGATTCCATGGCCACTAGATGAAGCCAATGGCCGCAGAGCAGAGTGATGCTATTTAAAATGCCCAAGCTCACTTTCCCACTTGGGTCAACATTAGACACAGTGAGGACTCTGCCGTGGTTTCTCCTGACCCTCAGAGACTGGCACCCTAAGAGAATGACTTCTCCTCCTGTAAATGACACAGTTCCCCCTCTTTAAGAATCTGCCAGATCCATCCACCGAGATGTCCTTGGAGAAAATGAGAGATCTCCACCTGGACGGAAAATACCTGGAAACCACAGAAGTGAACGGCATCCTCATGACCAAGCTGATCAGCGACAACTGGGACAAGATCTGGAACTTTCAGGCGAAGCCAGATGACCTCCTCATTGCAAGCTACGCAAAGGCAGGTAGATGCAAGGGCCCAGCAGGGGGGACATCGCTATCGCTGTGGCAGCAGACAAATCTGAAATGGCCCCTAACTTAGGAAATTCAGGTTCCCCCAGGGCTGGTCCCAGAAAGACAATAGCACCCCTGTCTGTGGCTCCCTGCCTGCACCAGACACCCCTTTGTACGTGAGTCTCTGGGGGAGACGGAGGGGGTGGGGGCTGGCAAATGATGAAAGAGTGTGGAGTGCAGGGCTGACATGGCCACAGATCACCACAGTGGACCCTGGTCCCTCTGCTGAACCTGTGCTCGAGGCCTGGTGATGGTGCTGGGGAGTCCAGGCCCACCTGGGAGCACCACAGGCTAGGCCCAAAGGGAGGTGGCATTCAGCAGAGTCTCAAGAAGCTTGCAAGACAGCAAGGTCCGAACAGGAACACATTTTGAGGTTTGTGCAGGGTGGAGGAATGGAGACCCAGATTGGGGATGATGTCACTCCCACCCCACACAGTGGCCCAGTGAGAGAAGAGCTTTGACTGTACCCACCTTCGTGGCACTGGATGCAGCAGGGGAGCTGGGTTCTCTTGGGGTTCCCGGCACACTGTCCCTCAAGCCCCTATTCTGGCCACAATGGCCCCGGTCTTCTCCGCACTCGAAGCTGCGTGGCTCCAGGCTGCTCCTCTCCCCACCTGCTCCCTTCCAGGATACAGGCTGCCTCCCCCAAGAAGCTGCACACCTGTTCCCACCCCGCCTCTCCTGGCTGAGCCTCCCCGACCCTGGCAGCAACTCCCTCAGCACCTTGCAGTCCATGCAGCCCTTCCCGCACCTGCTTCCTGTTCACACTGATTGCTCTTCTTGGTGTTGTCTTGGGTTTTCTGTTCCTTGTGGCCAAACTGAGTCCCGACATAGCAGGGCTGTAAATGACTCGTGGTCTCTGGATCCAGCAGGGGGTGCTGATTCCCC